CCCCCCCCTCCCTCGATTGAGTGCAACGTGGTGGTTGCGTGTGCACTATTTGGGCGTAAGGATCCCCACGGCATCTGAATATTTGCAATAGTCTATGCTGTTTTGCGTCAGTTGGATCAGAATGGATGTCGAAATGTACTGAGCAGAGGACGGGACGTTTTTTGATGAATGACGACAACGACGGGGTTATCGAGTGGATCCCCCCCTCCAGTGATGCGAGCCCTTCCTGTACGGAACCCCCGCGAGGTAGAGGGATCATGGAGTGAACTGTCTCCGTCACTACTGTGGACAGTTTGTCACCGGAAATCGTGCCATCTCGGAAAACAGTTGTATCCACCGGTGGCCGGGTTTCTTTTTGTCTCTTATCCATGCGTTTGCAGATGTCGGTGCTGCAGCTTGAGCTGGTGAGCCCGTTGTTGCTCAAGTCGCGCGACCTGTCTCTGGCGGTGCCTGGCACGTACCGCGTAGACAACAGCTGCGTCAGGATCCACAAGTTCCTCCCGGACGTTCAGGTACCAGTTTGAATCGTGTCGTTGACTCTTGTCGTCAGCTGCTGTTGTCCGGGGCCGTGTTGTGTGTGTGTGTTTTCGTCCTATTCATTATGGCGACAGTCCCCCCATTTTTCGTGGTGAGACGTGTACTACACTTTTCAGTGTATTTTTTCGTACAACTACAACCATCCAGGGTCACACAGGAGGGGGTAAACACCAGTTTTTTTTTTTTTTCTTTTCATGCCCCACCTTCCTCCTGCTGTGCGTGCTGAATTTTATTTTTATCGCGAGGAGGGTCCAGCTGTCCCTTTCCCTCGTCAACGGTGCTAACGTCGAAGTTTGGTACTCACGAGAGCTTTTTAGCTATTTTTCGCTTTCACCCGCAAATTTCGTAAATTTTTCACCCCAAGGGGATTCTAACTCACGACCTCTGCGACTGGCGGATTACGAGGATACCACTAGACCACCGGGGCGACCGGGCTGTCTTCATCCGTGTTGCTGTTGCTGTTCGTTGTTGTTCCTGTTCCTGTTCCTGTTCTGCTTGTTGCTGCTGCTGTTGTCGTCGTAGATGTTGCTGTTATCATGCTCTCATTACCCACCTTGTCTATCACAAAACTCCAACAACTTACGACCCTCATCCTTGTCCTCCGTTGATGTTCCTCGTTGTTGTCGTCTATCATATAGGTAATCCCGTCCAAGCAGAGGCCCCGCAAGATCACGATGCAGGGGGAGGACGGGCGCGACTACGTCTTCCTTCTCAAGGGACACGAGGACCTCCGTCAAGACGAGCGGGTCATGCAGCTTTTCGGACAGGTGAGGGTCTAGGCTACCCCCGCACTAGGACGGCGGTGAGGGTCCATGAAGAAGGCGGTCGTCCGATATAAGTAGGGTGACAGTGACTGACATCGACGAAAAAAACAAGTTATTCTACACATTGAGCATGGCGGCTGCCCCGTATAAGGCGGTCGTTTTCAGCTGCACCACCACCGTCATGTTTCGGTGACCCTCACTGTACTGTCCTCGATATCCTGGCTCTAGTTCTCAAGCCTCTCGGCGCGGCGTTATCCTCCCCCGCGCCGTGGTTGACCAGTTGACGATGAAGAAAGTTTGAGACATGCATATGGTATGTGATGTGCTTCTTCCTGGTGACTGAACCGTATCACGACACCCTACAGCGTGTGCTTCTCCCTAACACTGTCTCGCGCTACCATACAGCACGTGCCCCTCCTCCCTAACAACAGCATCACGCCATCATGCAGCTTCTCCTCATGCTATCATGCAACTTGTGCTTCGTCTCAACGACTGTCGAAGGTCAACGCGCTGCTGGCCAAGGACCGGCGAAACTACAGCCACGACTTGTCCATCCAGCGGTACGCCGTTTCTCCCTTGAGTCACAACGCTGGGGTGGTCGGGTGGGTCCCGAACACTGACACCCTGCACCAGCTCATCAGAAACTACAGGGACAGCCGAAAGGTAATTAGTTCTTCTCGCCGTCGCAAACCCTCTGTTGGCTTCGCTGCTGGCTTCAGCTGTTCGGTTGTTGCTGTTGTTGGTGATGGTGCTGTTGATTTTTGGCCTCTGGTAACCATTTTGTTGGTGAGCCTTCTGATGAACGTCGCCCCCGATCCTCACCTGCAATGCCTTTGCTGTCCTTTGGCACCGATCAGATCGTTCTGAACATCGAGCATCGACTCATGACCCAAGCGACGATACCGTGCGAGTATGACCCCTTGACCCTGATGCAAAAGGTGGAGGTGTTCGAGATGTCCCTACAGCACACAGCGGGTCAGGATCTCTACAAGGTAAACTGCACTCAGCACAGAACGCGCCGCCACCTAAGAACCTATTCTTTTCTCCGAGGATTACTTCTTGTTTTTGTCTATGGGGCGGCTGCAAGTATATAGGTTTTAGTGTCGGCTTCTTGACTGATCACGTGTTCTTTGCCTTTGCCTTTTTTTTTTTTGGCTCGAGTTCTTAACTGGCGAGTTCTCAAGCGGCGGCGCGTTCTGTATCGCGTAGGCAGTTTTTTTTTTTTTTTAGAAATGTATTGGATAAAGTATGGAACTGAGGTAGTGTAGCTGAAGTCTCGGCACAGCAGTGTCGGCAGTCACCTGATGATGGCTGTTGTTGCACCCGAAATGATATCAGGTATTGTGGCTTAAGTCTCCGCACAGCGAAGCGTGGCTAGAGCGGCGGACGTGCTACACGCGCTCTCTGGCGGTCATGAGCATGGTCGGTTACATCCTGGGGTTGGGAGACCGCCACCCGTCTAACCTGATGCTCGACCGCTTCACCGGCAAGGTAGGTGATTATGATGATGCAGGACGCAAACCGTTTGATACGTACGTGATCGTGCAGCACGGAATAGCGTTTGTTCTCGCCCTGGCTGTTCGGTTTTTCAGTCCGTTCAAGCTTTTTCTCTTATGCATCACTGGACACCTAAATAGTTACCTCCCCCCCTGTGGGAATTCATTCATCGCTTGATTGGTTCGTGCCGCCTTGGTCCATCTTTAACCTGTTCCGGACGCAGATCCTCCACATCGACTTCGGAGACTGCTTCGAGGTGGCGATGAACAGGGGAAAGTTTCCCGAGAAGATTCCCTTCCGCCTGACGCGTATGCTGGTGAACGCCATGGAGGTATGTTCACGTTGCTGATGTTACTGTGGTTGCTGTTGCCGTTGTCGTCGTTGTCGTTGTCGGTGTTGCTGTTGCTGTTGCTGTCGTTGTTGTGATGCTGTGGTCATCGTGATTTTCTTGCTTTTGGCGCCTTTTTTTTGTCTTGACTTCAAATCAGTGCTCACAGCACTATTGTAGTGCCGTTTACTCCAACCCGTGATCACACAGAAGAGCCCCTCGCTACCCTCCCCTCCTGCGGTACTTTGCCTTCGATCTTTTTGATGCGGGAAGAGTTGAGCACTCTTACCTCTGTGTACACACGAACTGGCGCTATCCACTACCTTTGCCGGCACTCGCATCCCAGTCCCTCTGGAGTGACTTTCTTCGTGTGCGTTTGTAGAGACCAAGTGATTTTCAAGCGGTCAAATTCGAGAATTATGAGTTCCACCGTGGTTGTCAGAATCTACGATGCGGGACAAGTCTGCACGAAACTGTTTGGTCACGACGATAGCAGGCTCATTCGAAAGCTCTTGAAAGCAGCTGTTGTTCGACATACAGCGCATATTGTAATCACAAGGGAACAGGAGATATCAATCGATTTGTATGTGCAGGAACTCCATGTTCAAATCCCTTGCTGTAGAGAGGCTATTATGTTGTGAGGAAACTCCTTCCACCCACACGTGACGGACTGCATACCCCCCCCCTCCCCTAGGTGAGCGGCATCGAGGGCAACTTCCGAACCACATGCGAGCTGGTTATGGAGGTGCTCCGCGAGTCGCGCGAGAGCCTGGTAGCCATGCTCGAAGCCTTCGTGCATGACCCGCTCATCTCGTGGCGTCTGCTGGAAGGGAAGCAAGACGGGGCCGACGCCACCGGTAGCAGCCACCGCTCCACTAGCACTGCCGGGGGTGCTCCCTCCGAAGCTCCCGCTCCCACCGACCCTGTCTCTGCGGCCGTGCCACCCGACAGCGCACAGCGACAGCAGCAACAGCAACAACAGCAGCCCTTGAACGCGTTGCCGCAGCAAGCGTACGCAATGCCACCCCCGCAAACCACAGCCGTTCCGCAGCAGCCACCGCCGACGCCACGCATCGGGCCGATGAATCCAGGTCAGCGCGGACCCGGGCGTGCGCAGCTTCCATACCAGCAGCAGCGGCAGCAGGCGCCGCAGCAAAGTGGCAGCAGGTTGGGACCACAGCTACAGCAGCAGCCGCCGCTACAGCAGGAACAGTTCCAGCAACCTCCACGGGGCAGCAGCAACCTGGCTCCGGTGCCACCGCGGCAGCAGCAGCAGCAGCAGCAGCAGCACGTTGGGCGGCTGGGACGACTGCTACAGGAGACCGCGGGGCCAGACGGTGCTGCCTCGAGCAACCCGCCGCCCCACCCGAGCGGCAACGCTGTGGGGAACCCTTCTGCATCAGTGCGGGTCCCTCTCACCCCGCCCGCCGCCGGGGGGGGGGCGTTCGACGACTGGAGGACGGCCGCCGCTCCGCCGCCGCGGCAGGTTGCCGCTGCCGCTGCGGGTGGTGGTGCCGGCGTGGAGGCCAGCGGCAACGAGAGCGGCGGCGGCGGCGGGAGCCACACCGCGGCCAGCGGACGAGTCTACCAAGACCACTGCGGCCAAGGGTACCACGAGCAGCAGCACGCACCACCGGCGGTTAACCAATACGCCGGCAGGGTCGGAGTGAGCGGACTGATGCCACCGCCGCCACCGCCCCCGCCACCCCTACCACTCTCCGCCAGAGCAGTATCCCACAGGGTGGGCCCCTCCTCTCTATCGGGCCGCCCCCTTACCCTTCAGCCGGTGCACGAGCTCCGGGCAAGGTACGGGCGCGGCGGGGCCGAATCCGACACCGAGGTCGGGAGCGACTTGGGCACCGAGGACAACGACGAGACGCCTAGGTCGCCGCAGTCTCCCACTGGCAGCAGAGCGGGCGACTCCGGCGGCGGCGGACGCTCCACCGAATCCGGTCGAGATCAAGCCGTCGGGAAACAAGACCCGGGCGGTGAATGGCCGGGGCAACGCCAGGCCGGCTACGCGATGGCGGGCGGCGGCGGCGGCGGCGGCGGCGGTTCCGAGAGTGTCGCTGAAGGCGGCGCGAGAGAAGGGTTGCCGCCAGGCGGACGGCCGGAGGAGCTCCGCAGCGTCCCGCCGACGCTGTCCGGGCCCGTCGTCGTCGCCCCGGCGATCGGTGCCGCTGGCGTGGGAGGCGGGCGGCGTGTGTTCTCCGGGATCATCGAGCCGCCCTCGCCTCGCAAGACCGGCGACGGCATCGACCACGACCACGGGTTCGGTACGTCCTCTCCGCACCAACAAGACGACACGAACCTCCCGGTCCTGGACACGAGCAACGAGGGCGGTGTAGATGAGGCGGCCGCCGCGAGCGGCGGGGCCTGGGGAACAGCGGGGGTACCGCCGGACCACGGGCCCCCCGTGGGTCGCGAAGAGGAAGGTGGAGGTAAGGATGTTGCGGGGCCCCTCGGTGGCTTGAGATCACCGCCCGCGGACGGAACTAAGCGCGGCGAGGCTGTCGATGGCGGCAACGGTAACACGAAGGCTTTGCCCGAAGGCCGTTCGTCTAAGGCGGCGGTGGCGGCGGGGGGGGGGGGGGCNGGGGGGGGGGGGGGGGGGGGGGGGGGGGGGGGGGGGGGGGGGGGGGGGGGGGGGGGGGGGGGGGGGCGCGGAACGGCCAAGGAGCTCGTCGGTGGCTATTCAGGTATGGTTACCACTGACCGCGGACATGCCTAGTCGTCAAGAAGTGTGGGTGTGTTGCAGCATGTTTCTGTCTTTGTGGGGCATGGACACGCCCCTTAGCGTGTGTGGGTACAGGCTTGAATGCGTAGCACGGACGATGACGCGACCAAGATTATCGTTCTAGTCCCATTCCGTCCCCTCCGCCCAAAGCTCGAAAATATGGAATCCAACGCTGGCGAGTGTTGATGTGTGTGTGTCGTTCAGGGAGACGGACCGGCGGCAGGGACCGGGGACGCGCCAGACGGTACCGAGGAAGACCAGCCCGCGGAGATGGACGAAGACGAGGAGGATGAGATGGTGGCCGAAGCTGCCGCTGCCGCCGCTGCTGCTGCGGCCGCAGCCCGACCTCCTCATCGGCCTGGAAGCCTGCTGGAGCAGAGCTCGAGCTTCCGGCCTCACATGCACGTCAGGATGCAGGCACTCTCGGCCCGGAGACACGGATTGTCCTTGTCCTCAAGGTAGGTGTTGGTGCTTTTTGGGAGCGTGGCCGCGGCCGGTGTTGCGCATCGGTTGCTAGTATGACAAGTAGCGTTTTGTTCTGTCCAATGTGGGGGATTCCATGTTTTGCCATGGATAGAGCTACTGCGTTGGATTCGTGGTTTTGATGTGGGTGCTGTGTGCCCGTACGGCAAATGTGGTTGGAGATTTCCTCATCCGCAAGGCTTGTGGTTGTGTACAGTAGCGTGCCGCGGCCGGTGTTGGGTATTTTGGCTGCTGCAGAATTATAGCGACCGTCTTTTGGCTGTACTGATGGTTCGACACCGGACGCGTCGGCGAGAACCTAATAGATTGCTGTCTTCATCGAGCGGGAGGTGATCGGAACTGACGCGCGCTAACTAGTGCTTGCTTGTATTGTCACCGTTCCCCGGGGCAGGGCGGGCCTTACGGTTGGTCCCGCCGGCGGCGGGGTAGGCGGCCTCCCCGTGGAGATGGCTTCCATCGCACGCTCCATCGCAGCTTCCAGGTTTTCGCGGAGCACACGGGAGCGGGACCTGCAGCAGGAGCTAGGGCCGGAGGGGACCTCCGCTCCCCAAGAGGCGCTTAACGAGAAGGCGGTTAAGGTCATCAGGTGCGCGCGCCTCCACGCCCTGTCCTAGGGTTAGGGTTAGGTTTAGGAAGGTCATCAGGTTGCGCGCCTCAGCAACACCCCCGAAGTGACGATGCGCTCAAGGCGCTGCCTCGGTGAAGCCAGCTGGATGTTCGATGGGGACATGGCGCGGTGTGACCTGACACGAGGTCATGGCGGCATCCCCACCCCCTCCCTTAGAGCCTCCGCGAGTCCCTTCTTCTTTTCCTTGAGCAGCTTCCCGCGTTCAGGGTAATTCTGCGAGGACATGCTTTTCAATGAATATATTGTGCTGGGTGTGGTCTTGTGGAGGTGCTTAGTGTTGTGTCTTGACATTAAAACCCGCTCCGATCTCTCCTCCCTGTACCTTCATATGTCCGTACTGATCAGACACTTGCCGAGCGATTCCCGTGCTGACAGGTCAACTTACCCTATAAAAGGCATATGGAGGCACATTGAAAAAGTCTCGGGGCATTCGCCGTGAGCAAGAAAAACAACAGGGGTAACGTCCGGTTCGATTCGCAGCTCGATCAATAACGAGATTTGAAATATGTTGTTGAAAATCGTTTGTTTTTTTCTTCTCTTGTCTCCATACAGGACATTTTTTCGATCAACACATGTTTTAACCCAATCAATCGCCTGTGTGTTTTGTCGCTCTTCAGGAGGGTGCAAGCAAAGCTATCTGGTTTGGAGTTCGGGGATGGCGACGAGCCACCCTACGCCGTGAAGGCTCAAGTCGACTTGCTCATCAAACAGGTGGGTTTTACCAACCGCGCGATGAAGAAGCGCTTCTTTCGCATGCTTCGGGCGAATAAGCTTAACATTAATGACACGCAGATGGTACTTTTCATTCCTTGCTGCTTTTTCGTTGAGTAGCCTAGGACAGGAGGCACTGTGTGTCACACGGACACGGGATACTACTCATCCACCACGTGGACGGCCTGTTTCTGCGCTACAGATACGAAGCAACGGGCCGCAGCGTTATCCCACCAGACCTGCTTTCGATATCTGTTCGTACCCTCTTCATCTCGAACCTGGTTCCTGATGTGCCGTGTCTTCAAACTACAACACCTTCTTATTCCTTACCGTGCTCAAAGTGACGCCACCCGTGCGTTGCCCCTTTTCTTCGACACGCGTCCTCTCAGGCGACATCCAATGAAAGGCTCTGCCAGTGCTTCATTGGATGGTGTCCTTTCTGGTGACCTTGGACCGCTTGCGAACCGTCATTGTGATCTTTAAGTGAATAGTCGGGCCAGTAATAAGCGATCGGGATAATCGATCACCGTTGTCGTGTCCCAGTGATTCTTCCCACGCAAGGGGATGGGCGGGGGGGGCAGTCTGTCGGAGGAATGGACGTGACTTGCCCCGTTGTATGAAAATGTTTGAGGGTTGACAACGGCGTGAATCGGCCGTTGTTATCCGTTGTGGTGGTAGTAGTAGTAAAAATATGATTCCGCGGGACCCTAGGTCACACCGGTGATGCACGCGCTTCACACGCAGTAGATGGCCGAGATGGTGTGTGGACTGCTGGAGAGTGGCGCATTTTTTGGTTCCCAGCGCGAAGTCTTTCAATCATACTTCGGGCTGTTCGACAACAAACTCTCCCTCGGATAGCGGCATTCGGGCTGTAATGCCTCAGCCGAGCCGCCGATAGCGGTTGGCTCGTGGTGCTGCCCCCGGGCATCGTTAGTATGGCATCGATTTTCACGCACGTGAGATGTATTTTGTGGCTTTTCTTGGGCGCAGATAGGGGAGAGGGTCGGTGGAGATATAGGCTGCAGCGGGTAATCAATCCCGTGGATCTGGCGGTTCCCGTTGGTCCGGGCTGTGCGTTATGAGATACCATTGTGTGGCATTGTTGTGATCAAGCAGTATGGTGCGGGGTTATGATGACCTAGCTGCCTGTTGGCCACCGGCCACGAGAGGACACTCAGTAGTTGTTCGATTTCTCTTCGGATGATATTTTTTCGTATTCCGCAGTTCGCCGAAAGACACGTGGTGTGATATTCTTTCGTGCAGCAGCGCCAGCATTACATGTTATGTCCCGTCGTGTCGTGCAGCGACCGAGTGGCGAGGTGTTGAGAAGGCGCTGTTTGGTCATGTTGGAGTTGGATCTGGCGACGTGTACCTCCGCTAGGATAGAGAGGTTCAATGAGTGATGAGTTAAGCCCTGATTGTGGTCGTGTTGTTGGATTTGTCATGTCCTTCCCCCCTGTCTTGGAATGTTGTGACTAAGGTGACGGTCTCGCATGGTTACAGTTGATACGAGATGCGCCATGCGTCATGCGACGCCGCAGCCAACCGGAAGTCGAATCTTGTGAGAATTTATTTTGCTCCCCGGCGATACGCCATGTCTTTGAAGTGATCATGATAGAAGTAGTGTAATTGGTAAGTGTTGATCAAAAGTGTGCTATAGTCGAGGGGTTGTTTTGTTTTGTTCAATTTTCTTGTTGTTGAGTTGAGTTGTTTCTTGGTGATTCGCGCCTTTGCGGCGGCTGATGGTCTCCTGCGCCTTTTCGCAGACTGCCGTTTTGCACCTGAGTTTTCGTTGAAGCTGCTGCACGATTTTCGGTCAATCTCCTCCAGAGGAACGTGAGACATCGCGTGAATGGTATGTTAAGTATACCACGAACACGTGCAGCTCGTCCACTGCTGCACCGTATGAATTGGACAGCGCTTTCCAGCGCTTCAACGTAAATTCATCCCCATGCGCGTGAGGGGTGGGTTGGGGGCCTCAGGGAGAGGAACCCGTCTGTGTGACCACGGGTTGGAGTACACGGCACAACAAGTGCTGTGAGCGCTCGCTGATTTGAAGTGAAGACCAAAACAAAAAAGTCACGGGCGAGGCTTTTTTCTTCCAGATGAAGCTGGGCGGTGGTCAGAGCCTCTCGGCTCATTCTCAGACCACGATAGAATCTCCGGACCCGAGTTTCAGAGCTCGGATATGTCGGATATGAAATGTCTCAGACGTTTGGGCCAAGTCAGACGGTCAAGGCAAAAAAAGGATTAACTACAAGTGCGTACGTCTTGAGCGTGCAAGATCCCCCTCGCCGCGCCATGTCTTCACGGCAGGCAGTCGATGCACGAGAGTAGAGGTCGCGTGGTACCGGTTGGAGCAGGCGTTCCAAGGAAGGCAAAAGGAAACGCCAGAGAGACTATGTACGTACATACACTCCCGTCGATAGAATGAGGAGGACATTCCGGCAGGTATCCTTTTAGAATGGTTACTCTTGTTGCTACTGCTACTGCTGTTGTTGTTCTTCTTTTCTTCACATCACACACCGTTCCGGTCTCCGCATAAATAGTACTTTCTACAGCAATGTCCGTACCGGTCCAACTGACGCGGGCGCCTTCCGTGATCACAAAAAAAAACAACCACCACCCCAAAACCTTGCCAACCCCGAAAAAATAGGGGGTTGCGAGACGGGAACGAACCCCTTGTAGTTGCTGGAGAAGCTAGGGGTGCTAACGACTCTGTCTAGAGCGATGGGAATTTTCCTGGGTAAACTTTCTGGATACAACCTCCAGAGTTATACCCCGATGGATGCATTCAGTAGAACGCTTTCGAAACTACTGCTGTAGACTATCCTACGTAATTTTTTTGGACTCGAACATCGAACATCGAACAAGCAAGCGGCGTCATCATGTGATTGGCCAGGAAGGTCCAACAGCCCAAAGAGCCAAAGAGATGTTAGGGTTTTCGAGTTTTTGTACGCCGGATCTTCCAAGGGCGATTCCCCCTGAAACTCGAACATCTTTCCACAAAAACTCGAAAACCTGTACCTAACCTACAGCAGTCCTCTGGACTATTGGGACCGAATTCGCGACAAAAAAGAAAACCCGCACGCATGCATCACGCACGTGCACCAAACACACACCACCAAAAAACAATCCTGGGGAGAGGGAGAACGACAGAGAGGTCTGCAGGACAGCAACAGCAATATTACCCATGTCTGCACAGAGCGACGACGAGTTTGCGCTGGATCCCAGGGCCCGCTGCTGTTGTTGTGTGTGGTGTGTGATGAACGCAGCTGCATCAACAGGACTGTCAACCCCGCGGGCTGTTGAAAGCAAAAACGTGTGTGTGGGATGTTTTTTCACGCTTTTTTGCAAATTTCAATGGACCCAAAGAGTCGAATATCGAACTATCCGCTTGTTCGATGCTCGACGTTCGACTTTTCCAAAAATTACGTAGGACCCGCCCTCTACTAGACTATGTGGTATACCATATTAGTCCAGTCCACACAAATAGGTTGCTGCTGTACCGTTTCGGCTAAGCGGCGCAAGAGGAGGTAAAGGGGCTAGGTAGGTTGCTGTGCACCGTTCGGGCTAGGTTGCTGTGCACTGTTAGCGCTAGGCACCTACCTGTGTTGCTGGTTCGGCGAAACCTGCGGAAGGTTGCCGTGCTGCCTGCACCTACCCAAGGAATGTTCCGAGAAATGGTATTCCGACGGAGAGACAACCACATTTCGTCTTCTCGTCTTCTGTTCCAATCGGCGTGTACAAACCCTAAAAACAACGTACCCGCGATCCCGCGATCAACGATGGCGCTACCAAATTCAATTCTCGACTGGTGCCACTGAACCTTCGCTTGTACAGTAGTGCTTGGTTATCGAAAGCCCTCCTCTCATCCTTCCCCTGTCCCCAGCACATGGCAGCGGAAATATAAACTTTGGAGCGGGTTATGTGCTGCTACGAAGAACGTTCCTCAGGTGAAAAAAAAAAACGTTGCGTGCGCACGCCTGTTGAACCAGGCTACAATTGTACACTGCCCGCGTACATGACCAATTGCGTGTGGTTGAGGTGGTACTCGTCGGGGCATTGTGTTTACCTCAAGGAATAGGGTGAGTAGCGTGGATCCTTGAAAACATAACGGATGCCTGAAGACTAGACTGATAGTCTAACGCGCTTGTAGGATGCCGTGGTCTGCAAGTGCTGCAATGTGTGTACCCGTGTGGCCAAAGGGACGTTGTAACTGATGCCCATCCTCCCCGGGGTCAGGTTGGGACGTTGGGGATCGACCTTGGACGACATGCAGTCTACGCTGCCAGTCCGCCTTACTGATTGGGCCGCCGCCGCCATCCGTGATGCGGGGGGCTTAGCTGCATACGTCGGCGTACAAAACCTGACACCCGACCCTACGGAGATTGTGGGGAGGGGTGCACCAGTTACAACCTGCCTTGGCCAACCGTGTATGCGCCAAGTTAGACAGGCAGAGAGATCTTAGACAAGCAGAGGGATCGTCCGATCTGTGGATCGACTTGAAGCAAGTCTGGAGGAGGCCGGGGAATGCGGAGTTTCTTGTGGGCGAGAGTTAGAAAACAGCAAATTCGATGTTGACAAATTTTGGAAACATCAGCAAGAGCACCAAAATCTGTACTTACAACAGACACACAAGATCTGTCGGAAGGCATCGCAAAAAACAGAAACCGTTGAATCCCGCACAGGGTGACAGCAGTTACTGCTCAAAACATACATTTTTCTGAACGGCAATATCGAACCGCCGCATCCATCCCACGCATGCTGGCCGCCCGCCCCATGCTGGCCGCCCACCCCATTGGGGGGCGGGGGGCCAATCGCTCCCCCTAGTATTTAATATATACCGTCTTGATGCAGTACGCTCGTTCATAGTATGGTCGTCTCAATCGGGGTGCACAGAAATCAGAAATGAATCTCAGCTACTGCTGTTGAAATGCGCTACGATCTGGCCTTGAAATAGCTTGCGATCAGCCTAACTTACGTAAACCAATCTTGGAATACGGGTGTTTTCGAAGAAAGAGCTCGCCACGAAACGGGGGCGCTTTCACCACCGCCTTCGCGCAGGTGAGGCCCATGCCCGCCTTCCGATTCCACCACAGAGAGCAAAAGCGGTCGGCAGACAACCGAGTTGATTTGCCTCCAAGATTCGTTATTTCTACAGCAGTACAGCAACGGAATGCTGCAGACGACACACCACCGGCTACTCCTGCGAGTCATCGGCTACCGGCGCAAACGAGGCACCTACCGGCAGCTGTCATACGCCCAGGCGCTAAAGAGGGTCGGCTGCCAGAGCGTGGAGGCCACTGTCCGTCAACGGCGCCTGCTCTTTGCGGGGGCCGTGGCAAGACAGCCGGACGGGCGGCTTCCGAAACGGCTGATGTTCGGCGAGTTGGTGGGAGGGGAGGACCCGGGCCAGGGAAACCCGGA